TACCCGCGTGGGAGTCCCGGAAGAGGCTCCTGGCTTCGGATCGGCATAGCATCAGCCATTGCGCTCACTTGGGTAGTGAATCATCAGACGGAAGATCTTCCTCTCTGTCTCTCCTCTCTGCATATCTGCCCTTGCAATAAAAATAAAATAAATCTTTTTTAAAAAATGCATGGAAAGGCATGTTATGAAAAAACTACCCATGGGATTCCAGTGCTGGCAGGATGCATTGGGTTGTGGACCACAGCAGAAACAATGAGTGAGCCCACTGCTCAAGACGAGCTGTAGAGAAGCTCTCAAACTGCTCTGTGGGAGTGAATAGACAGGAGGAGCTGGAGTCAAGAACTATTTCAGAAATGCATCCAGAAAGCCTGAGAGATCAATGTCATAGGTGGTGCTGCAGATGCCCTGCACATCCACCCAGCTCCCCAAGGGCTTGCTCCCCAACCCCAACCCTGTCCCCCTGCCCTGGCTCACCTTCTGTGCCCAGCCAGGGCCAGTGGAAATACGGCTGTTGCTTGTGTTTTCTGTTTGCTTCTTGGTGTTTCTCAATGGCTATGACTGTTGGGTAAGCCCCCCACCAAAGGTTCCCCCTGGCTGTTTTTCAAATTGAATTTTCTGAAAATGATTCTCTGATGGTACCCTATAGGCTAGGCTCACCTTACAAAAGCTCAGTGCTGCCTTTAAAGGACAGTGCTGCTCATTGATTGTGCCCATGAAGTTCTGGCATCATATGTCTGCATTTGTACCCAGACCGTGCCACTTACCAGCCAAAAATATGTTCAAGTCATAACATCTCTAGTCTTCAGCTTCCTCATATGTCAAATGCATGAAACAGTACCCACCTGCTGAGATTATGGTGAGGATTAAATGAAAAAGTAAATTAAAGCTTAGAACACAGACCCTGTATATCCACCAGCTGCTTTATAAACCTGAGCTGATATCTTATTCTACATTTGAGGCCCCAGTGCACATTCCTTGATTCATTTAGTCAAATGAATCTTAAAGAACATTTGTCACAGGCCTTTCCATATTCGAGTCCTAGTTTTAGACATTGGGAAAGCAGGACTGAGTAAGAAAGCAAAGATCCCTGCAAACTAGGGACATATTAAAGCAATCACATATTGCAGACTGAGAAGGGTGAAAAGAATTAAGCCAGAGGACATCAGCAATTGATGAGCCTAAGACAAAGGCCTTATCATGATAACAGGTGGAATGAAATGTTCTAGAAACTAAAAGAAAGGCAAGGGCAATAGCATGGGGAAGGTGACAAGACAAAGTCGGTTTGACAGGCAGCAGCCAGATTGTATCAGGCTTTACAAATGTTCCACTCACTTTGGATTTTATTCTAAGTCAGTGGAAGCCTATTCACAGATTCCAGGCATTGTGATGACACAGTCTGATTTATCTTCTCTCCTTTGAACTTTTTTTTTTATCTCTAATTGACACATAGTGATTGTACATATTTATGCTGCAGTGACTTACCTTGAAAAAAGGCACTCTGTCAACAAGCTGAAGAAAAGGAAAGGCAGAACCAGAGAGTCCTGTGAGAGCCTCATGGCAAGTGCCCATGTGAGAAATGATGGCCCTGTGACAGGGAGGCAGAGGAGAAGGTACACAGAACTGGGTGTGAAATGTGCACCCAAGGTCATGCCCACAGCAGGCCGACAGTTTGAAGTGAGGGTAGAGGGAAGTGGTGGGGTGGGGGGGCTCTGGAGGATTCCAAAGTGGTACTGTTTTTCTCCAGAGACCCCAGAAAGTAGGTGTTTGAGATGGTATGCAGATGTCCCAATAAAAGACAGCATGTACACGCCTGCATGTCTGAATCCTGAGTTCAAGCATGAGGCCAAACCTGAAGATGTAAAACAGAGAGCCATCAGCATCCTAGGGGAATTGGATTCTATGCCCAAATCATAAAGGTAGTTAAAGAGACAGAACTCCAAAAGACTGGGAGAGGGTATATAGACCAAGGGGCATAGACTCTCCACACAACGCTCAAAGTGAGAACTTGAGTGGGAGGCTGAGGGGAAAGGCAATGGGTTCCCAGAGGGTTTGGAAACAAACAAAATGGGATAGATCCAGCAACTAAAAGAAATGACTGTTCAAGGCAAAGGAGGGAGCATAAAGCTGTTAGGTGCCAACACAGCCCAGTACGATTCAGAAGGCAGAGTAGCTGCCACTGTGCAGGCAGCACAGAGGTTACAGGTGGCGTTGGCAGAGCCACTCCTGGGAGAAATAGTGATGGGCCTGGGGCAGAGCAGACTGCGGAGTGCCTGAGAGGCAGCTTGGTCAAGGCAATAGCTGCAGACAACCTCCTGCCCCAACAACCCAAAAAAGCTTTTGTTGCCAGGGAGCAAAGAAGCGGGATGGAAGTGGGGCAGGTCTTCTGTTTGAAGGTGAGAGAGGTTACAGCAGGTTTGTATGTGAGGAAATAGATCCAGCAGAGAGAAGACTGATGCCAGAAAGAAGAGAAACTAACCACAGGAATGAAGTAGTTGAAAATGGGGCAAATTTCCCTCTGTATGAAGAGAGAGAAGATGGAATATACAGGCAGGAAGGTGAAAGGGCTTGGAAAGCAGGTGGTGGGAAGATGTGAGTTTCCAAGGGCAGGCATTGTAGCGCAGCAGCTTGCAACATCCACATCCCATGTCAAAGTGCCTGGTAAGTCCCTGATGCAGCTACTACTTCTGATGCAGCTTCCTGCTAACGAACCTGGGAGAGCAACAGAGGATGTCCCAAGTACGTGGGTCCATACCACCCATGTTGGAGACCCAGATGGAGTGCCAGACTCCTGGCATGGTCCAGCCCTGTTTGTTGTAGGCATTTAGGGGATCTCCCTCCTTCCCTCCTTGTCATTTACAAATAGTTTCTCGAAATCCTGCAACTCTCTTTGAATATGAAGTAAGGTTTATCAGCTGAGGGAGGCAGGAAAAGACACAGAGATTTAAGAAAAGCAAAGCAGGGGATGGGTGTTTTGGCACATCTGTTTAAGCTCCTGCTTGGGTCTCCTGCAACCTTTATCAGAGTGCCAGTACAGGCCCTGCTGTTACACTGCCAGTCCAGCTTCCTACTGATGTTCCTGGGAAATTAACAAATGACAATTCAACTGCTTGGGTCCCTATTAGCCACATGGGAGACCTGGGTGGTGTTATTAGCTCCTGGCTTCAGCCTGGCCCAGGCATTTGGGAAGTCAACCAGCCAATGGTAGATATATTCATTCATTCTTTCTTTCTTTCTCTCTCTACCCCAACAATTATTTTAAACAAAACAAATTTTTAAAAAGAAAGGGAAATAAAAGTATAAAACAGCCTGGATGAGTTGAGAATTCCCTTTGTGATAAGAGAGTCCCAGTGGAGTGGCTAGGCTGTGACAGAGGCCAACTGTAGAGAAGGGATTGTGACATTCAAATGGAAAAAACGCAGCTTCCTTGTTTGGTCTCCTACACATCTAGCTGTGATCATCCGAACAGTGCAAATGGTGAGGCTCTCAATGCAGCTGTAATTGCTTAAACAGTGTGACAGAGGAAAGAGCGTGACTGTGATAAACCACTGAAAATAAAGTAAGTGAGGCCAAAACGGGAGCTAAGAACCATGATAGACCCATGGAGTCAACAGATGGGCAGGCTGGAGAAGACAGAGGATTCTCCAGTGTGAATATCCAAAAGCAAGGACACCCGAAGAACAGATCACTTCCAAAGAAGGCAATCCTTGAAAACAAACTGTGGACCTGAGAACAGTTGCTCATGATAGAATACCCATATGGTATACCATGGGAGCAGATGGCTGCAACAGACTAAAGAGATTTTGGGGGAGAATATTGAAGACCAAAACAGCGAGGGTGATGCACAGACAGCACAGGAAGAAGGTACATATTGTAGTTACCAACAATGACAGAAGAGAATAGAGAGGCAAGGGCCAGCATCATGGCATATCATATTAAGCTTCTGTCTGTAGAGCCAGCATGCCATATGGACACAGGTTTGAATCCCAGTTGCTCCACTTCTGATCCAGCTCCCCGTTAAGGTACCTGGGAAATCAGCAGAAGATGGCTCAAAGTCCTAGGACTCCTGCACCCAAATGGAAGACCAGAAAGAAGCCTCAAGCTCCTGTCTTCAGATGGGACCTTTGTGTCTAGCCATTGTGGCCATTCAGGGAGTGAACCAGCAGATGAAAGATCTTTCTATCTCTCCTTCTCACTTTGTAACCTTGCTTTTCAAATAAAAATGAGTTAGTCTTAAAGCAAGCTGAGAGCAAGACAGAGCTGAAGTAATCTGTAATGGAAAGAATTTCCAGCCTCAGGGAGGAGCCACAGATGGGATGGCCAGATGGCATAACTTTAGAAAAGGTAGTTTGTTTTGCTTGGTTACTAGTTGATTTTTTTAAATAGAGAAATAGTTTGGAGACAGTAAATGTAGTATACAGAAGATATCTACACTAGCTCTTCACTAATATCTGAGCCATTCTCTTTAAAAAGTTTTCCTGAAAAAAGTGCAAGAGATGGCCTCCCAATGTGAAGAGAGTGGTATAAGGATACATGTTCTGGTTATTTACTAATGCATAACCAACCACCCACCCCAAAACATACTGGCCTACGACAACATCTATCTTCTCCCACAGGTATGTAGCAGAATACTTTGTCTCTGCTCTCCTCCCTGTGTTCTGAGATCACCCCAAGGCTGCAGAGTGGAATCACCTGAAAGTCTGTGCATTCATACCTGGCAGCTGCTGCCAGCTGGACCCTAACCCGGGGCTGTGACCCAAGAGCCTAAAGTATGATCTCTCCCTGGGGTAGCTTGGTGCCCTCACAGCAGAGCCCTGGGTTCCAGGCAGTCTGTCCCCAAGAGAACCAGGCAGGAACCAGACCAGTTTCCATGACTTCACCTTGGTAATGACACAATCTTGCTTCTTCTCTAGTCACAGACCCACCCAGAGTCAAAGGAAAAGCAGAGGCCCAAGCTTCCCATGAAGGTACATCAAGTTCACAGTGTCAAGAGTGGTCAATAAAACCCTTACTTTGAAAATAAAGTTCTCTCCAAAGAATTCCATCTGAACCAGAGTGGGGATCCTTCCTCAAAGTCCACTGAGATCAAATGGAAATCCGGAAAGGACTTGACGAAGCGGTCAAGTCAAACACAGAACAAAGCCAGCAGGAAGTGGCAGCAGGAGGAGCCCAAGAGCTTCTTCACCTGGTTCACCGAGCACTCAGACACCGGCGCCAACGAGCTAGGCAAGGTCATCAAGGACATCTGGCCCAACCCGCTGCAGTACTACTTGGTTCCAGATATGGATGATGAGGAGGGGGAAGGAGAAGAAGATGATGACAATGATGAAGAAGAAGGATTGGAAGACATCGACGAGGAGGGAGATGAGGATGAAGGCAAGGAAGATGATGATGATGATGATGAAGGTGGAGAAGGAGAGGAGGATGAAGGAGAAGATGACTAATAGAAAACACTGATGGATTCCAACCTTTCTTGTGTCTTTTTTTTTTTTAATTTCTCCAGTCCCTGGGAGCAAGTTGCTGTCTTATTTTTTCCCTCTTGTGCTCGCTCAGTCTCCCTGTTTTTGAGGTCTCTTCTCTACTCCATGGTTATCACCTTTATTGTGGGTTAATACCTGATGCAGAATACAGTGGGAAAAGAATCTCTTGCCCCTTTCTGTTCCAAATTTCATTTTCACCCCATCTTGTCTCCACAAACTGTTTGGAATCAACACCACCGTTCTCTGTGGGAAAACCGAACCTCCTGCTCCCCTGGCTCAGCCAGGAGCTGGCGGCTGCTAGGCCCCTGTGTAGTCGTGCATAGAATTCTAGATTTTCCCTCCTTTCTCTGTATATTGGGCTCAGAGATTACTCTGTGTCTATGTGAATACGGACAGTTAGCATTTGCCAACATGTATCTGTCTACTTTCTCTTGTTTAAAAAAAGAAAAAAACCTTAAAAATGGGGTTCTAGAAGGTCAGTGAAGGGTGGGTTTGAGATGTTTGGGTGGGTTCCGTGGGCATTCTGACAACACGGCTTCTCCCTTGGCATGTTTCATTGTCATGTTTAACAGACATCCTTGCAGTCTAAGGTGACACTTTAAAAAAAAAATAAACTTCTTTCCTAATGATGACTTGAGCCTGGCCACTCGATGGGAGAATCAGCAGAACCTGTAGGATCTTATTTGGAATTGACATTCTCTATTGTAGTTTTGTTCCTGTTTATTTTTAAATTTTCTTTTTGTTCCACTGGAAAAGAAAAGACGCTCAGTTTTAAACGTTAAAAAGTGTACAAGTTGCTTTGTTACAATAAAACTAAATGTGTAGGGCCCGGCGCGGTGGCGCAAGTGGTTAAAGGTCCTCGCCTTGCACGCCCGGGATCCCATATGGGCACCGGTTCTAATCCCAGCAGCCCCGCTTCCCTTCCAGCTCCCTGCCTGTGGCCTGGGAAAGCAGTCGAGGATGGCCCAAAGCTTTGGGAACCTGCACCCTGTGGGAGACCCGGAAGAGGCTCCTGGCTTTGGATCGGCATGGTATTGGCCCGTTGCGCTCACTTGGGGAGTGAATCATCAGACGGAAGATCTTCCTCTCTGTCTCTCCTCTCTGTATATCCGCCTTTCCAATGAAAAAATAATAAAAATAAATCTTTAAAAAAAAAATCCACCTACATCACACAACCTTCTAAAAAAAAAAAAAAACGAAATGTGTAAAAAAAAAAAAAAAAAAGAAGTGGTCAATAAGAGGAAATATGGTGCCACTACCCTGAGAAAATGCAATCTGCCACGGCAATTTTCATCATTTGCTTCTTCCACTTTGTATTGGGATGGTGCCCAGTGAGTTCAAACCTTAAGGAAGTGTTTGTAAGACAGCAGGCTGGTGCTTAGAATTTATCCGGGGCTGGAAGTGTGGTATTCTGAGTTAAGCCATTGTCTACAGTGCTGGCATTTCACATGGGCCCTCCTTGCAGTCCCAGATGCTCTGCCACTTATGGCCTAAGAAAACAGCAAGGATGGCCAACTGTGCATTGTGACCTGGGCTTAGTCATCCTCGAGGAGCGTCAGTGATGAGAATGACATGGCCTTCCCTGGGCTTGTGCTGGGAAGATGGCTGCTCTTCCTAAAGAGGCCTAGCAGTAATGGAATGTGGGCAGAGAAGCCAGTGAAAGGTGAATGTCTACAGTTTTGTAAGTGTGTCCAGGTTATTTGCTGCATCTCTTAGGATAATTTATATTGCTGAGAAAGTTGGGACACAGGTATTCAGTTTAATGGGCAGGTTCACAGTAATGACCATTTGTCTCTCAGAGTTTTGATTCAGACTGGCTTGCCACATGGACTTGTCATTTGCTATTTTCTCGTGGGTCCTGTTATCCCCAAGCTTGGTTAATTAATACTCCCTGAAACATCCTAGACTTGTCTGGCATGATCTCTCTCACACCCCACAATACCCTGCTTCATTTTTGTGACTTTATAAAATTTAATACACACACTGCAGCAAACAATGTTTATAATTTCTCCTCTATTCTTTTCTTTGAAGGTAGAAGAAAGGGTCACTCATATTGCATAGCATTGGCTTATTGATCAATGGATGGCCCTCTTTTATTAAACTACATAATGAACCCGAGTATACCATCCAATCTAAAGATCCAAAATATTACTAATAACTTAAACAGACTGATATGATTTCTCATTCTAACTCCCTCTCTCCACTCCATTCCTAAAGTTAAGCACTACCCTCAATTTGTTTTACCATCTCTCTGTTTATATAAAGTCCCCCCACATATTGAGGTTTGTGTCTTTGGAATCAATCAACTTGTGCTTGTGTCTGCCTATCATAGTTCTATCCCTTTATACAGATTGTGGCTATTATATATTCAATTTATATGGTTACTTTCTCTAAAACAATATATTGTCTGCTGTTTTTCACCTTTAGAAAAAGAAATTTTGCATATAAAGTCATAGCATAGAACTTATCGCTTAATATTTATCCATGAGAATGTACTGTTAAACCATGTAGTTATCTTCCATTTCTGTTGTTTTGTGAAGGTCCTTCATGTGAGCACACAATTTCTTTTGTTAGCTAGTTTGGTCATTTGGAGTTTCTGGCAATTGCACCTAGAGCTGCTGTGAACACTCTTGGATCTGTTTCCCAGTGCTCATGTTCATGACTTTATGTTGCAGAAATGTCCAGAAGAATTTCTACAACATGCAAATACTCAGCTTTAGAGAATCCCGAGTCAATATTTTCCTGTACTGGCCATCACTAGACTTGGCCAAACTAGGAGACATACAAATCCACAGTGGTGTGGACTTCAATCTCTCTGAACATTCATAGTTAAATATCTCTTCATATCCTCCAGTCTTGATTATACCAACTCTTCTGTAAACTATCTTCAAATGTTACACATTTTCCCAAATAAACTTTATCATTTAGAACAGTTTTAGACTGCAGAAAAATTGCAAAGATAATAAAGTTCCCATAAACCCTTCACCCAGTGTCCTCTAATAGTTATATCTTGCATGTGTCTGAGACAGTTATTGCCAGCATGGGACCAACATTGATAAACTGTTAGTAACTTAAGTCCATGCCTTATTTTACTGAATGTCCTTTTTCTGTTGCAGAATCCCACAGTACATATATTGGTCATGTCTGCTCAAGCTACTCTTCATTATGACATTTTCTTAGATTTCACTTAGCTTTGAAGAGTCGACAGTTTCAAGGAGCAGCGGTCAGGTATTTGCAGAGTGCAGCTCCCCTGGGATTTGCCTGATGTTTTTCTCGTGATTAGATTGGGGTTATGTGGTTTGGCAAGAGAGATCACAGAAGTAACATGCCGTTCTCATCACATCATATGACAACACAGCTTGTCACTCTGGTTGTGGAATTTCTACCATGGCAGAGGCAAGTGCTTGTCAGGTTTCTCCATTCAAAAGTTATTCCTTCCTCCCTTTGCATACAGCATCACACACAGTCACCATGCACAGCCCTCACTTAAGGAATAGTGAGTATGGTAGACTAAGTCAAAGTGTCCACATGCAATGCCCAGAAGCTGTGAATAGCGCCTTCTTTTAAATCAAGAGATTTTGTGGCTGGGATTAAGTGTCTTTCCATGAATTATCTGAATGGGCTCTAATCACAGCCATAAGTGTCCTTGTGAGAGAAGGCAGAGGGAGATTGACAGAGAAGCAGGTGATGTGTCCACAGACAGAGGTTGGGATAATGCAGCCAGCAGCACTCAAAACTCCAGGTAAGGAATAGATGCCCCCAGAGGCCTCCAGAGGAACCCAGGGCCTGCCCAGCACCTGGATTTCAGCTTTCTGATCTTCACAAGGTCCTTCCCATCAGTCCCCCTTCATAGAGCCCTGCCTCTGTTACAAACAATGTCCCTGTGAAGGCTGACCAAGACCAACTCACACAGAAAGCCACTGTTGCCTCAACGATCCTGACAGCCCATGTGCAGCCGCCCCTCAGTCCCTCATTCTGACCCACCTGCTTCAAAGCCAAATAACAGAGCAGTAACTACCACCTCACCTACCACCCCAACCTTTGAATTGTCCCATTTCACAGATGAGGAAGCCCAGAGATGCCCAATGTCTGTGACTAATACCCTCCAGAGAAGCCAGGCTCCCCTGACCGCTAAGTCAGTTCACTTGGCTTCCTGTGTCACAGATCCAAAGTTCAGGAGAGCCAGCTCTCTCATTTTCACTTTGGATGGCAGCAAACCAAACTTTAAAAGCTTGGCAGGTAGAGTTGTTCCTGACTCCCAGGCATTTGGCATGGGCTGGGATATATTTCCAGAGCTGTTTTCTGCCTGAAGAAAAAAAAAAGAGGGAATATATTTGACTAATAAATGTGATCCCCAGGACTCTACAGACTCTTTTAAGCCGTCAAATAGCACAGATTCCTGTCTAAGTAGAAGACAGAGAGAAGTATTGAGTTGGAGGAAACATCTGAGTTTTATTGAAAGAAGTTCTTTAAGATGTAAGTGCTGTTAACATAATCTAGGAGAAGAGAAAAGTGACTTTTTCCCAAGCCTCTCCCAGCACTGAGTGTGCATGGTGTCCCCGAGGTCCTGGGACTTTGGTGCCTGACCAGCCTGGAGCTGGCCCTGGAGTCCCGTGTGTGCATAGCTAGGCACAATGAAATCAACCCTGGTAGCCTTAAAAACCATAATCAGCATCATTAAGAGGAAAACACTCCAATATGAATGTCAGGAGAATAAGATCTCCCCAGGGACCTATGTTAGGGCCAGAAGACAAAGCTGTCTGCTAAAAAGCCAACATCCCCTAGGTGTGCCAGTTCACTTCCTGCCTATTCAACTTCTGACCCAGCTACCTGCTGATGTGTCTGAGAAAGCAGTGGAGGATCGCTCAAGTCCTGGGGCCCCTGTACCCACATGGGAGAATCCAGATAAAGCTCCTAGCTTCCAAATGGCTCATCCCTAGCCATTACAGCCATTTGGGATGTAAACCACCAGATGGAAGCTCTCTCTTCCCCTCCCTCTCTCTCCCTTCCTCTAACTACCTTTTGTTAAAAAAAAAAAAAAATCTTTAGTTAAAAAAAAAAAGCAGTGCTCTACTGTGAGCAGCCACCATGCTGGCTGACTGCCCCAAAAGGCAAGGGGCTGGCCCCAAGTTCCTGGGAGCCTGGGGGTACAGGTTTGTGCAGGGAGAGGGAAGTGGTGCTGGCAGGGGCCTGGGGAGACGTGGGGCTTTGCACCCAGGTAGAAGGAGCAAGCCTGGGGCTCTCCCCATGTGTGTGATCTGTGGATTGATCAGGAAGCGGGGATAAGGAGATGTAGGGGAGGGAAGACCAAGGAGTATCAGTTGCAGACAAGGATTGACTTCTGAGGACTCCCATCACTACAAAGTCACTGTACCTACAGGTAAGCAAGAAGGCTGAGACTGAGTGGGTCAGAGGGTGGAGGCTGCAGGACTGTTATGGGTCAGACAGATGCACCAGGCCTCGGGGGAGAGCTCAGCTAGGTTAGTTAGCATGGTTCACAGCAGACCACCACCCAGCAGTGCACACTAAAGCTAGGGCTTGGGGCCTACCTGGCAAGGCTAGATCACAGTACCCACCACTGAGTGTCAGAACAGGGTATGGGTTATGTTAGGCTAGGTAATGACACTAACCAGCATGCAAGAGAACCAGGTCCAGGGGCAGATTCTGTGGGGGTTATGGGGCCCAAATCTGTGGAACTGCAAGTCCCACTGGTTAGCTTGAGTTGGAGGTAGTGATGGGCTGAGCTAGGCATGACCACAGAACCCTCTGCCACTCACAGGTACAGGGATTGGGAACAGGCTGGGCAAGTCCAGGCTGCAACACC